GGGTTGTTTTTCTCCCAGCCATTGGGTGTCAGTATAGAGAGGGATGTGGTTAGTGCCCCTCTGCTAGGCCTAGGGGTGTAAGGGGTGGGTGTTGTTAGCACTGTCTACATCCTCCGGGGTAGCGAACGCTCCCATGGGACAGTTCTCTGCTTGTTCACTCATCTGTGTGATGGAACAGTGCGAGCGGGGGGTTACCGATGGGCTTTAAGACAGTTCGCCCTTATTGATTAGATAATCAGCCTGTCACCTAATACCAGTGTTCTTTACATTGTCCCCTGCTGGGATGAGCATGGCTGTTATTGCTAACTGCAGGGGATTCCTGCAACGAGCACCTTTTATGTCCACTATTCTTTTCCACGTGGACTGTTCTGTGTTCCCTTGCACTTTTTCCTGCTTTTTCCTATGCTGGACTGCGGGAGGAGTGTTTTCATTATTTGCCAAGATTGGTATGTCAATCCTTTTGCCCCTGACCCAAGTTTAGAAATGCTTTAGGTTTTATTGGAGGAATGATTACGGAGTTATCTTGCTACCTCACTCTGAGGCCTTTATACCTCCACACTTCGTATACCTTCAGGCAAGGATTGGATTTGATACCCGGGACAGTACCTTGGGAACCGCTCGCTGTCTACTTTCTCTTTCTATTGTTTTGCTGTACCTCCCATTTCCTAAATGTGTCTGTGTGTGTTGCTGATTCAGATTTTTTTTTACACTTTTTTTTTCAACAGTGTTTTCCAGCATTTCCCCTTGTCTCTCTGGCCAGCTAAGTTTATGCAAAGGACAAATGTGAGTAACACAGCGACAGCGTCCCAACCACCTTCCCCTGAGGGTCACGGGTGTCGTGACCCTGCAGCAGGTGCCACTGATGTCATTTCCCAATCACTGTCCCACTTTCCTAGATTTCCGTCCACACCTGCGCTAGGATGAAGATTATGAAGATTTCCTATTTAGTGTGATCAATATTATTATTTTTAGGAAGTTGATTATTTTGAATGAGTGATTTAGGATTTTTTTTTAATTATTAATAAATAATACAAAATGTAAAAGAATGAAAATAAAATATATTTACAAGCTTTTTGCATGTAGGTATTAATTGTAAACACCAAGTTAATATTTTTCTGGCCATAAATTACTACCTTTTCTACATTTCTGCATCTTGGGTACATTTCTACTATTAATTGTCAAACGTAAAGCTTTAGAGAAACACTTTTCATCTGTAACTATTCATATATATTATTTATTTGCTCAAATAATATACATTTATGATTAATCTCTGTTTAGGTAAATTACTATTTTACCCTACCAATGTATCTGTTATTTCTAGTATAGTAGTAGTAGTAGTATTACTAATTATTATTATTATTACATTTTATTTATTATATTACATTTTATTTTTTTTACATTTAAATTAAATGTCAAGCAGGTTTGTTTCAAAGTCCAGAAAAAAAAGAGATAAATAGAGAAAGGACAAAATGAATGTTTCTATTCCTTACACTGAATTTCATTTAAAGCAACGTGGCAAAAAATGGCAATCGTCAGAAAAACATGGGAGAAAGACAGTCGCCCAAATCACGATGCAAATTGCACTTTGATTGACTCTTAATTTCATCAGAAGGCTGTTTTGTTTGGTTTTTATTCTGAGTCAATGAGCTTAATCAGAGTCACTGATCCTGCGGCTCTAAGCTCTCCGTGTTGTGTTTTTGTTTGTCGGGAGATCAGCGAGACTCTATCCGCACTTCATTAACCCTGAGCCGGGGACAATCCTCGGTAAGAGCCGAGGGATTTACCACTATCCTTTCACATGCAAAAATCTCGGCGCCTATTAACAAGACGGAGGAGCTTTTCTTGCAATCAGCTGCGCACTTCGCAAGAATAACCCTTTTCATAAATATTGAGGGGGGTCATCAGCCTCCTTTGGATCATGTGCAGATCCATGTGATAATTTAAATGTTTGATCTGAAATGATATGTCATTTTTTTCCCCCGAGCGCATCTGTTCAAAACAAAAAACGAGCATTTCTTAAATTGCTCTTATTGTCTTGGTGACCAGTTGATTCTGGTGTTTGTCGTATCTTATTAGCATTATTTCCACTTTTTATTATTATAGTTTTTATTTTCAATTTTTATGCTTTAGCAAATGTGTGCAAAACAAGCATGCAAATTAAGTACTTTGAAATTGTATTTAAAAAAATATTTTGTTGCATATTTCCCCACCTCAAAAACAAGCCATACATTTATGAAACGTTCTTAAAATGATTTCTCGCTCTCTACTTAGTGATTCATGGGCAGGAGCCCAATGATGAGACGCAGGATGACATGTGCTATGCGAAAGTTTGCAGCAGGAGCCCGACTGATCACGTTATCGACGTTCAATTAAAAGCTATTAAAGTCTTTTGTCTGCGCGTTAATATCCCATTCAGTCGCCCTGTCAGAGCAGTCCCCAAACCTTGAGCTTTATGGGACGGTCTCGTGGTTGGGTTAAAGTCAGTCTTAGGCTCACGGAGGGGGGATGAAGGGGGGTCCCGTCATGCCGCTGACCAGATGTCCCCTTGCTGATCCGAGCCGCAGTCAGCACTGCCCGGTGACCAGCTGTTGGGGCCGTTTGGCAAAAAGCAGCAAACCAACACTCTCGAGAAAGGGTATGGAAACAATCCATTTCCAAATGGGATCATTTAGGGCACTTAAACAATTACACACTTAGGTGACCATTAATATTTCATCCACATATTGTTTATGAAAACTAAATGAAATGACTCCGCTTGCTTAGTGATGCATGATGCTGTTTTAAGAGTGCAAAAAAGTCTGTCACTTTACTCTTGTAGACACGAGACAATGGGGGATGACAAGTGTTTTGTGTGTGTGCGTGAGAGAGAACGAGATCACGTACCCACAACCCACATCCAATCTCTCAGTATTTCCCTTTTGTCGTGCTGGCAATAAAATGAACATCGTTTTAAATTGTATTGAGACTGGCTCATAAGATTCATGATCAAAATGATATTTAAAGTGTGACCTATAAATAAGAGGTAGTCGCGTTAAACTTTAAAATATGAAGGTAGAATTAAGTTCCCAAATCTCCATGCGTTTCTGAAAGGTTGGGGAGGTGAATGTTCACTTCCATGGGTGCGACATTCTTATTAACTTTTTTTGTCGGTTCGACAAATTAAATCCACGATGCTAACCAAATAGTGTGGGGTTTGAGCAAAGGGTCTGACAGTCATGTTTAAAATTATTCAAACATTTGCCAGTAGCCTAATAGAGTTCCCTGAGTTCGAATTTCATGATATTGCTATCACAAGCGTTTGTTTACGTTTATTTTCATAAGCAAACTTTTACTTTTCATTAAATTACTGTATACATTTTAAAAGCAATGACTTGACGTAACCTGCGTAACTAATTTTATTGGTTTACTTTTTTGGTCTTAATCTCTCTTTTTTTAGTGTTTCTTGTCGGAACTTAGCCCTTTATAACTTTTAAAACGAAACCTTAAGACAATTTAACCATTTCAGTTCATATTTCAGTTATGGAGGTACAAATAAATCGTTAAATTATACGACTCCTTTTTTCCACTTCGTGTTGACCAATTTATTTCAGAAAATAATTAAAATATACAATTTATTTTTATAATTATACAAATTATAAAATCTTAATTTAGTGTTGGCCCACTTATCGCTTTACCAGGAATTCATAATGTGGAATATTTTATGGTAAAACCAAAAAAAATGGTTTCTGAAATTTTTGGAATTATCATCCAGGTATTAACATACAAAACAAAAGTGATTATACTATCCATATACATTTGTGAAAAGGTAAAATTGTCTCAGTGGTCGCAGATAGTAGCACATCATAATGCATTGGTTGCATGAAGTTCTTGTTGCAAAGTACAGGCTTTGGTAAATTTTGCAATAGCAATTTTCTTAAATCATACATTTATAACGTGTCTATGTTCAAGTCTGGCACGCGCATTATGCACCAGCATACCTTTTATATTGGCTGTTGGTTTAGTGTAATTGAATGGTCTATGAGAACACGAGTGTGTATTTACCCAGTATTTGTATGGGCTACCTCCACATTCTCAGTCAGTGGTAAATTAATGAAAGATCTTTATTAGCACATTTATAAAAGTAATTCTCCTTGCTTAAAGACCACCCTCCCCCGCACATCCAGCAGTTTTAAGAGTTTTCAAGAAGTTCACACCGCTAAGCACACGGGGGCACGAACGAAAATCATTTGGAATTACGAGAATCATTACTTCACAAATCATTATTCTCAATATACAGTTAGAATGACAAGATATTTCAACGGCTTTATACAGAGTTACTGCACAATGCCTGGGCGAACACTTTGCATGTCATCTCCGTGAAGTCTCACTGATCACAAGTGATCTGAAACGAGGACTTGGCGTTTTCCCATCAACATCAAAGTGATACTGGCAGTTGTGCAGGATTATAGAAACGAAAAAAGAAGCACAAAATAATCGATTGATAATCGATTAATAATCCATCTCGTCCAATCCACCTGCTTGTTCTGTTTAGGCATAGCACTCCCCACCATTCAGCTGTTTGTCAAATAGAAAAGTGACACTTCTTTAAGTTGCTTTTTCGTTTTGTAGAGACGTGTCGGGTTTTAATGTGCTGCTCATGTCAATCTCACCTGTTAACGTAAGGCTTGGAAATATGATACAAAAAGAGAAAATTCGAGAATTGTCTTTCAACATAAAACAAAATATTCTTATTTACACCTCTTTTCCTTTGTACATTTTAGAGGGTCACTGCAAAGCCCACGATTTATGACCTGGATTTGATATCAGGATAATTAAATATGAATCTACCATTTAAATATTCTTTGCGTCAGGGATGCACCAACAATTCACATTTGTAATACTGACAAGTTAAAATAATAATAATAATAATTTGTGAAACGAAGCGTCCCTGTAGTATCATATCCCGTTATTATTGCGTTCAGTATATAACGGTCTGTATTTGTTTTCTCCAGATTTAACATTTAGGGGTCCAGATTCGACACCAGGCTTTGAGGGTAGAAATACGGCGAGGGGAACATCCTTTGCAGCGCAGAATAATTTCCAGCCTCCGCTAACAATTCCAGTCCGACCGCAGTTTGCCTCTTCCACTTCGTCCTTTTTTATCCAAGACGAAAAAGAATGATGTTAGTATATAAAAATAAGATTGAAATGATTTAACTACTAGTGTTTAATCTTTTGATCATAACAAAAAGAAAACAATTCACCGAGTAGCCTACGTTTATTGTCTTGCACGCCTATTCCCAAGCGAAACATAAAATTCAAAAATAAATAAAATCTGAATCCTCTATGATTTATCGTCTAAGTTGCCTATCTGTATAAATATCAGTTTTGACCACACAATTCAATAATAATAATATGATTTACTTTAAAACGTCTGAATTGCAATATGAGGGCCACGAGTCTGCTGAGAGCTATGTGAAAGTTTCCTGAAGTATTCTGATATTTAATTCACATTAATTGTGTAACTAATATAAACAATATATAAGGTAAAAAGCAGGCAGCAAATGTCCCAAATAGTTCAGTAATTACTATTATTTAATCGAGGACGCATGCACCATTCGTGGATAAAATGCTGCATATTTATTTCAAATATTTAACTTGTCACAAAATTAGATGCTGCGAATACAATTGGAAAATATGCAAATAAACCACTTGTAGAAGTACAATATATCTATTTTGAATTTTGCTACTGTCAATTTTCCTGTTATAGAATATCTTTTTTTATTTGTATTTTTTACATTTTGCAGTTCTTTTTTAAGCTATAAAATAAGAATGATGTGAATCTTTGAGCCCCTTTAAAAATGAAAAGCTAAACATTTTATGCTTAAATATAAAAAATGTGGATATTTATTCTGTAGCATTTCCTTTACTTTTAGTGAAGCAAAACCGATGCAACCACATCATCTGACATTTATTATCGTCTTTGGCAGGAGACTAATAAATCAAAGGAAAATTATATGATAGGCCTATACACCCAAGTGCATATTCTCTTATTAATATTGTAAAAATAAAACGAATGTCGGTAAGAAAAATTACATTTATAAAATGACGCTGATATCAGAATAATTACCATTTAATTTCTTCAGAGTTTTTTTTATTTTTTTTTATTATTATTTAATGCTGCTGGGATGTACTCAAGCATTTGTTTCCAGCTGACCACATGCTCACCTCCTGTTCTGGTACCAGGTTTTGACCTGCGTGTCGGTCAGGTTGAGAGATGCTGCCAGCTCCATCCTGTCCTGCACACTCAGGTACTTCTGACGCTCAAAACTGCGCTCCAGCTGGGCGAGCTGATGGTCAGAGAAGGCGGTCCGCGCTTTTCGTGGCTTCTTTAGGCGAACCTGCGGGCTGTCTCTGCTGCTCGAGATCTCCCTGTCGCCCTCCTCTTTCACTGAAACATCACATAGAACGAAAGGGCACTGATTAGAATGAGTTAGTTAGCCCAAGTGTATCAGTAGACCCTGCTCTGGCAAGTAATCACATGTTATGGTGTCAAAGGTTTCCACATATCCTATGCTAAACCCTTGATGGTTTCACGCGTGCTTGTAATTCTGTCATGCATTTTTCAGATTTTATTTTCAGAATGTGAATACACGAGGGTTGTGATATTTAATTCACCCCTCTCTCCCTATCTAAACCAAACTCTTTTCTCTCTGAACCCAGAAAGAGAGGGACACGACGCGAGAGACCTTGCCAGTCGAGTAGTTGAGTCGTCTCTCAAGGAGCACAATAATCCGGCTAATTGAGCCACAAGGGATGGAAACCTTTCAACCGAGAACCGGAGAAACTTCACAGGGCCGGGGATAAGAGCGAAATAAAGAGCGGACCGACCCCGTGCGTTACAAATCTGATTAGCACTGGGACAAATTGCATCAAATCCCTGAAATATAAGGGGTAGAAAGGCAAAAATCAAAGTGGCGCACACACTCTTTACAAGCGCTCTGGAGATGGAATGGCTTTGATTTGGAGAGCATTAATTTTGATCACCGCTCCTATAGACTTGCCAAGCTAATAATGTCATGATGTGAGAGTAGAAATATATTTGGATTTATAGCTGAAGGTTGGCGAATAGTTGAGACCCATCATGCCCTACTTCCTCTAAGAGAGCAAGATTTTGGTGATAACACTTTTACAAAATTGTCAGAATCAGCAACGACCATACCAGTCTTCAGTAGGCCAAACACACGGACACCAATAACTATAACAATACATTTATTTAATTAATTATTTGTAATAAAGACAAATAATAATAAAAATAACGTTTTATTTAATAAGGGCATATTCCTACATTTATCAGTAGTCACTGGCCTTTATGTGTTAGCATCACTAAATCAACCTAATGTTATGTCACAGGAAACGATCTTTCACGCTTTTTTTCCCCCTCAGATGTAATTTCACCTGGACAAATCCTTAATGAATCTTGCTGATGATGTTTATCAACTTCCTGTGCTCTGCACCTAACAATGAGCTTTAAACTAATAAGCACGTTAAAATGTATCATATAGTGAATAATCCACGTAAACAAATGAACTATATTTCTTGCACTGAAATCACAAAGATTTCATTTCATGATTTTTACACTAGCGACAAATGCATTCATTGATTTCAAAATATTTAATATGAATTTTACGAGAGATGATTGTAAAATGTTTTGGATTATAAAATGATTATGTCATGTGGATTATATCTATTTATCTATCTATCTATCTATCTATCATCAGTCTTATCTCATAATCTGTTGTCCTTTATAGAAACAACGCCTAAAAATGAACAAAATTAATAAACAATAAAGCATGAAAACTATAATATTTATTATTTATTATAAATACTATAAATATTTCAATTGATTCTAGTTTAAGCTATTTATTTCTATGCCCCAATTCGTTAAAAGACATAGCCAAGGGTAGTCAAAAAGCCAGCCTGCTTGAACTCCATGCAGTATAAATGTGTCAAGTTCTAGATCATGTGCAATAATTTTAAAATATCACTAAAAAAGCGATGTGATATTTTTACCTTTGTATTCACAGTCTGACGATGAGTTACTGTGGATCTTTTCAATGAAGTCGTCTGCGATTTTAGATGCCAGTCTCCCTGACTCCTGAGTCGGCTGGCCGTTACTGGAGTAAGGAGCACACGCCGCCAAGGGTTTACAGTCAGCCAGAATATCTCTTATTAAGAAGGATGAAGTGACAGTCCGAGGTTGCGATCCGGCGGAGATCGGCCCATGCTGCAAATGGGACGCGAGCCCGAGCAGGTGACCCTGTCTCTGCGCAGCGTCCTCACCGCACTCCCGCCGCGGGGACGGAGGAGAAGAACAACCGCTCTCTAAGTCTGACCTGGGGCTGAACTCCAGCGGGGACCGGCATTCTCCTACCAAACTGTCCCTCTTCGCGATGACTGGGCTTCCAGGCCTGTGGGAGAGCAAGGAGTCGATTCCAAAACTGGAGCCGTTGGTGGACGCTTCCATCTCCACACTGCTGCTTGCGTGAAGCCTCTGTTCAGATTATCATCTGTATTCAACCAAGTTCTGCGTGAATGGCGCTCGATTTAATAGCGATCTATCCAGGAGGAAAATCCAAAGCAGAATCGGAAATGAGAAATATTCATCCGCTGTCTGGGAAAAAAAAACTTCCTTCTTCCTTGAGGACTTTTAATTTAAGTTTAAAAAGGAAAAGGAGGTTTCTTGAGGAGGTTCTGTATAAAGTACACACAGACCCTGCCTCCAAAAAAAATTTTTTTTTTCTTTTTTCTTTTTCTTTAGCTTCTCACTCACTCCTCAAAAAATCGATACAGCCTAAATATACTCTCGGCTGGCAAATGTAATTTTTTTTTTTTTTGAGTCCCGGTATTTCTCGAAGACGCGAGACGCATCGATGGTAGCTTTGAATTTTTTTTCAAATTATTTTAAAAAACTGTTC